ACAAAAAAAAAAAAAAAAAAAAAAAAAAAAAAAAAAAGGGTTCAGGAGATTTCTGCTAGCATGTTAATTTGAGTTGAAATGAGCAGGTCTACCCACTAATAGAAATAATAGATAATAATACTTTTAAACATTTTTTTTAAACATTTTAAATACATAACTGAAAATGTATAAAGAAGAAAAAAAAAACCCAAGTGCCAAAAAGAAAGACACAACAAAGCCAGAGTGGCCTGAATAGATGCTGAAAGACTGCACATTGAAGTTTTAACTCACATGTGGTATCAAGACTTGTGGTATCTGGCCTCTGTGAGGAATGGAAGCAAGAATTAAAATCTGCCCTTGGGCTAAAGGGTCCTCAGGACAAGAACTGTCTGATTTTAGTAATTAAAACTCACTTTTGCGTATGTTTAATACCTAAAGATCCAGTCTATATCCATTCCCTAACCATAGGTCAGGGTTAACGTAATAGGGAGTGAGGGTAGATGGGTATTAGAGGAAAGGGCAAATAGAGTTTTGCTTAGTAGGTCCTGCTGTGTGAGCGCTCTCTCTCTGACTACACTGTTTGGTCACCAATGCTTTCTGTGTGGCAGGTGCTGAGATGCTGGTCTTTTCCTAGGGTACATGTATGGTTTCCTTGGAGTAACCTTCGGGACCTCAGCACCGTATACATGAGAGATGCTTACTTCAGTTATCCTTCCGCAGCCCTCCTCCCTCCCCAGCTCTTCTTATGTCTAGTGATGTATGCAAGAGCCTGTTATTTCTGGCATCCCTCACCCTGTCAGGCTGCCTTCTTAGGCAGGGTATCTTCAAAAGAGAGCAAGCCAGCTACTTGCAACAGTATCTACTTTTTACGGAGAAAACTCATGCATCCTAGCCAGGTCAAACAGCAGAAGGGCAGACTGCTCCACTCTTACCCTCTCTTCTTATCTGCTAGTTATAAGCAGTAAAGCCTTCAGAGTTTTCCACATAAAAAGCAAGTTACCAGGAATTGTATTTGCGTATGCCTCCAAATTTCAGGGTACACATTCAATATCTCCCCAGAATTCTGTTACATTGCCCTTCTCCCATAAAGGAACTGCAAGTCAATTTAGCATTAGAATTTTCATCAGCAACAATGAGTATCAGAAAACAGTGGATTGAAAATTATTTATAACCAGCTTATCTATACATCATATAATACTAAAGGACTCATAAAGTTTTCCCCCTATATACTAAATGTATTCAGAAGTATATTGAAGGTATACTTCCAGAAAAACAAAAGAAATCAAAAACCAGAAATGTACAAGATAGGAGCAGTAATGACACTAGCCTACAAGTCCAAATAAAAAAAAATCCAAAGATGGCAGCTTTGTAGCAGGCCTAGAAAGCATATAATCCAAATTAGAATAGTCAGCTGGTGAACTACAAGAACATCTTTAGAAGAAAAAAGGATCAGATACCAATAAACAGCACGATTAAGAAGCTGGAAGACCTAAGGGATATGCTGAAAAGGCATACATTTCTTCTCCTGATAAAAGAAAAGAAAGTCGGGGCTTCCCTGGTGGCACAGTGGTTAGGAGTCCACCTGCCAATGTGGGAGACACAGGTTCGAGCCCTGGTCCGGGAAGATCCCACATGCCGCGGAGCAGCTAAGCCTGTGCACCGCAGCTGCTGGGCCTGCGCTCTAGAGCCCACGAGCCACAACTACTGAAGCCTGTGCACATAGAGCCCATGCTCCGCAACAAGAGAAGACACTGCAATGAGAAGTGGCCCCCGCTCACCACAACTAGAGGGGGCCCGCGTGCAGCAACAAAGACCCAACGCAGCCAAAAATAAAATAAATGTATTTTAAAAAAACCACTGCAACAGAATATTAAAAAAAAAGAAAAAAAAGTCTTTTTTCAGGAATACAAACACAAAAATTCCAAGATCAGCATGGTCCTAATATAAAGCAAACTAAAATTTACCATGATTTTGAACTACTGGTAGAGAATAAAGAAGGATAATCCATTTGACCTTAACAGTAAAATCATTGGAACTGTAGACAAAAGAATAATCATAGCATATCACCTAGTCCTGCAGTAAACTCATATACTTATAATAAGAAACATACTAAAATAATATAAATGCTGGCTTTTTGACTTTGAAAGTTTAGAATAAATATATAGAAAAAGCAAGGAGTTATTTGAAATTACAGTGCAAAATGTAAATGTTATCAACTTTAGTTTTATAAAAGTAAAGGTATAGCTGGCAGCAGTGGGGGAATGGAAGAATAGAGGAGAAGAAGTGGGAAACTGTTGTTAGTACCTTAATGTATACAAAACGTAGGTATTTAGCATGTTTTTTTCAATTCTAATGATAGCCAGTTGAGGAACTAAAAGCACTGATGAAAGTCTAAAACAAATGGAATGGAAGAAGCACAATGCTAAATCCTCATTTAACACAAAATAAACCTATAATGTCTAAAGCTGAAAAACAAAGGAGTAGCATATAAATGATTTTTTTAGAGCTATAGAGATAACTACCAAAAATCTAAAACAGAAATGCTTAAAAATGGATGCCTCTAGGGAGTGGAACTTACAGCCTTTCAATATTTTAAGCATGTATTATTTTGATAAAATAAATGTTCATCCCCAAGTAAAATTAAAGCAACAATGAAATACCACTTTTCACCCACCAGATTAGCAGGATTTTAAAAGACTATTATCTTCTAGCTATCAAGGATGTGGGAAATTATATTTTCATACATGACTAGTAGAAGTGCAACTTATTACTTCATTTGGGGACAAAGGCCTGGCTATTAAAAACAAAAATACAAATATTGTGACTCACAGGAAGATCAGTGAACCCCAAGTAGGATAGATATGAAGAAAATCACAGCCAGAGAAAAATGGCATACAGGGGAAGAATGACGGAATAGAATTTAGCTATTATAAAGGCAAGAAGATAGTAAAACAATATTTTGAATGTGCTAAAAGGAAAAAGAAACCCTCTCAACCCAGAATTCTATGTCCAGCAAAATTATCCTTCAAAAGCGAAGGCAAAATAAAGACATATTTTCAAATAAAATAAAACTTAAGAGAATAAGGATGGTGGGGTGATAAATGTGCGTGGTTTTAGTTGTTATTGCGGCTGTGCCCTCATCTGTACCTACAGGTAAGGAAGACCTATAAAATTGAGGTAACACTTACCTTTTGGAAATCTCCCTGGGTGCAAAGGACTGACATCAGTGATTCCATGAGGGTAGATGTTATATGGTCGGCTTGCTTTATTCTTAAATATAATCTGAAAGTATAAATGAGATATAAGATTAGGTACAAGACAATTAGGATCAACAAGAAAAGTGTGGCCTACCTCCAGAAAAAAGCTGCCTTGTATCTATAGTATGGGGCTTTGAGCCTAGATAAAGCTCAAAATGTTTGTTCTTTTCATAAAATTGCTCAGACAGCTACTTAGGTTTCTCACTAAAGGTTCCTTTCCATTTATTTAAAATTATTTTAATCACTTCAGGAAGAATTCCTTGCACCTTCTGACATTAGTAATTGAAATTTGGATGTCTGCTGAGGGTACTGCTTCCCCTCAGCCTTTCCCACCATTTGGGCCCTGAATTCCCCAACAGTGGAAGGGAAAACTGGTTCAAGTGATAAAATCTTCACCGGATGCGCAGGCATGACCAGAAGGACTGCTGATTACAGCATTAAGCAAGGGTGGCAGTTGGAATTGTCTGATTGCACGACCTTTAAAAGAGAAGTAGGATAGAAGAGTGATAACATGGAAGCAGCATTAAGAACTCTGAACATATCAGCTGGGCTCTATGCCTGAGGTTCTATGATATGAAGATAAAAAACCAACTTCTGGGCTTCCCTGGTGGTGCAGTGGATATTTATGTTATACTTTATTTATTTTATTGCTCATATTCTTCCAGCTTGGCTGTTAGAAGCTCCTATATTTCTTTAACATTGTCCCATCCTTTTATTTTTTGAGCACTTTCTTACTTTTTGGAACCACAAGATTCTCCAGGCTCATCTTATGTTTTCCCTGGCCCAGCCCTAGAATCATCCATTCTCCAAATGGCCTTGGTTCCTTTCATCAGAGAATGGTATTAGAAACCAAGATCTGGGTGTGCTCATTGCTACTGGGATGTCATTGCTTCTAGATCCTCTCAGTGGACAGCGCTAGGAAACATACTAACCTAAACATACACACACATATGTAATTATTTCTGTATGCATCCATCTGTATCTATATTTGGCGAACATGAACTCATAGTAATGTCTCCAACTGTAATCCAGTATCACATGATTTATTCTAGCCTTTCCTTTTTGTTTATTTATAATTACCCTCTTCAACAATGACAAATATAGCTCCCACTGTCATTCAGTTACTTAATCTTCAAATAATAACAGTTTTGTTTATTCATTTCCAATCTTAAAACTTTTTTTCTCCTAAGAATACTGGCTAGGATTTCTAGTAAAATATTAAATAGAGGTTGTGATACTTGTTACTGTTTCTTGTCCTGATCTGATCTTAAACAGAAGGATTTCTCAGTTTCACCACCAAGTATGATTGGTGCCTATAGATTTTCTTCAGATATTTATCAGGATAAGGATGTCCCTTGTGATCTCAATTTCCTATGACTTTTTATTATGGATGGATGTTGAACTTTGATAAATATTTGTATGAAACTATTGAGATTTTCAAATTATATTTTACCCTTTTATGTGTTAATATGATGGATTACCATATTTGATTTTCTAATGTTAAATTCATCTAGTACTCCTCCGATAAATCAACCAGGTCATAATGTATTATCTTTTTAATATATTGCTCCATTGGGTTTATTAATTTTTGTTTAGGATTTTTTGAATCCATGTTTATAATGCAATTGGTCTGTAATTTTAATTTTCCTTTCTCATACTGTCCTGCTCAGGTTTACAACTAAGGCTATGCTAGCCTAATAAAGAACTGGTGGGTCTTTACTTTTTTCTTATACTCTACATTTAAAATTTTAATATAAAATTATATATTCCTTGAATATTGGTATAAATTGCCAATAAAATGGTAATTCTTGCTAGGTTGATAGCGATTTTCTTTCAACACATTAAAGACATAATTTCATTGTCTTCTGGCTTCCTTTGTTGCTTTTGAGAAGCAAGCTGTCAATTTATGTGGCAGTTTTCAAACATGGTTCCCAAATTCTTCGACACTCCTCCCAACAAGAGGTAGGCCAAAGTTTCCCTCTCCTTGATTCTGGGTGGACTTTGACTGCTTTTACTCAGATTATGCCATGAGATGCTGTGTGATTGCTGATGCTGGGTCATTAAAGGTGAGGCACTTTCTGACTGGTTTAGTGGAACACACACAGTTGGAGTCCTGAGCTGCTAATATGCTTTCTGCTTTATAAGTTGGCCTTTTTAAGATATTTCACATAAATTAAATCATGTAATACGTCTTTTTTGCTTGGCTTCTTTAACTTATCATAATGTTTTGAGTTTTATCCATGTTGTATCATGTATGAGTAGTTCATTTCTTTTAATTGCTGACTAGTGTTCCAATTATATGGGTACACTACATTTTGTTTATTCATTCACCAATTGGTGAACATTTGAATGGCTTCCAATTTGGGGCTATTATGAATAGTGCTGCTATGAACATTCACATACAAGTCTTTGTGTGGACCTATGTTTTCCTTTCTCTTGAGTATATGCCTAGAAGAAATTGCTGGATCACATGGTAATTCCATTTTTAACATTCTGAGGAATGGATAAACTGTTTTCCAAAGTGGCTGCAAATTTTTACATTCCCATCAGTAGTTTATGAAGCTTCCAATTTCTCTGCATCCTCACCAACGCTTGTTATTATCTGTCTTGTTGATTATAGCTATTTTAGTGGGTGTGAAATGGTATCTCATTGCGATTTTGATTTGCATTTCCCCAATAGCTAATAATGTTCAGCATCTTTTCATGTGCGTATTGGTCACTCCTTTATATATCATCCCTGGAGAAGCGTCTATACAAATCCTTTGCTTATTTTTCAGTTGGATTATTTGCCTTTTTAATTTATTTTTAAAACATTTATTTATTTGTTTGTTTTGGCTGTGCCAGGTCTTAGTTGCGGCACGTGGGATATTCATTGCAGCATGCGGGATCTTTAGTTGTGGCATGCGGACTACTTAGTTGTGGCATGCATGCGGGATCTACTTCCCCGACCAGAGTTCGAACCCAGGCCCCCTGTATTGGGAGCACAGAGCCTTACCCACTGGACCACCAGGGAAGTCCCTATTTGCCTTTTTATTATTGAGTTTTTTTTATTACTGAGTAAGAGTCCTTTATAAATTCTGGATACTATTCCCTCATCAGATATATGATTTGCAATTATTTTCTCCCATTCCATGGGTTGTCTTTTCACTTTCTGGTTGGTATCCTTTGAGGCACAAAAGTTTTTAATTGTGATGAAGTCCAATCTATTTTATCTTTTGTTGCTTGCTGCTTTTGATGTCATATCTAAGAAACCATTGTATAATCCAAGGTCACAAAGATTTACTCCTGTATATTCTTCTAAGGGTTTTAGTTTTAGCTCTAACATTTATATCTTTGATCCACCTTCAATTTGTGTATGGTATAAGGAAGGGGTCAAACTTCTTTCTTTTTCATGTGGGTATCCAGTTGTCCGAGTACTATTTGTTAAAAATACTATTCTTTCCCCATTGATTGGTCTTAGGACATTTGTGAAAAGTCAAGTGTTCACCTCCTACACTGCTGGTGGGAATATAAATTGTTGCAGTCACTGTGGAAAACAGTATGGAGGTTCCTTTGAAAAAACTAAAAATAGAGCTACCATATGATCCAGCAATCCCACTCCTAGGCATATATCCAGAAAAGATGAAAACTCTAATTCTACAAGATACATGTACCCCTATGTTCATAGCAGCACTATTTACAATAGCCAAGACATGGAAGCAACCTAAATGTCCATCTACAGATGAATGGATAAAGAAGACATTGCATATATATACAATGGAATACTACTCAGCCATAAAAAAGAACAAAATAATGCCATTTGCAGCAACATGGATGGACCCAGAAATTATCATACTAAGTAAAGTAAGTCAAAGAGAGACTAATTTCATATGATATCACTTACATGTGGAATCTAAAAAAATGATACAAATGAGCTTATTTACAAAACAGAAACAGACACACAGACATAGAAAACGAACCTATAGTTACCAAAGGGAAAACGAGGGGGTGTCAAATTAGGAGTATGAGATTAACAGATACAAACTACTATACATAAAATAGATAAGCAACAAGGATATACTGTATAGCACAGGGAATTATACCCAATATTTATAATAACCTATAATGGAGTATAATCTGCAAAAATACAGAATCACCATGCTGTACACTTGAAACTAACACAATACTGTAAATCAACTATACTTCAATGAAAAAAATAAGTCAAGTGTTCATAGATATGTAGGTTTATTTCTGGACTCTCAATTGTCTTCCATTGATCTATATATCTATCCTTATGCCAGTACCACACTGTCATGATTACTATAGTTTGTGGTAATTTTTGAAATTGATGTGTGAGTCCTCAAACTCTGTTGTTTGTTTTCCCCCAAGATTCATTTGTTTATGAAGGGTCCTATGCAATTCCATCTGTATTTTAGGATCAGCTTGTCAATTTCTGCAAAAAAGGCAGTTGGGATTTTGATAGGGATTTAATTTGTATCTATAGACAAATTTGGAAGAGTCTTAACAGTAAGTGACTCTTCCAATCCATAAATATATGTTTTTCCATTTATTTAGATATTTAAAAAATTATCTCAGTAACAATTAGTTGTTTTCACTGTACAAGTGTTGCACCTTTTTTGTTACATTTTCCCCAAGTTATTTCATTCTTTTTTTATGTTATCATGAATGAAACTGTTTTCTTAATTTCATTTGCAGATTTTTCATTGAAGTGTATAGAAATACAACTTATTTTTTAGTATTGATCTTGAATCTTGCAAACTTGCTGTACTTGTTTATTAGTTCTAATAGCTTTTTAGTAGATGCCTTAGGATTTTCTGCATAAAAGATCATATCATCAGCAAATAAAGACAGTATTATTTCTTTCTTTCCAATCCAAATGCATCTAATTCCTTTTTATTTTTTGCCTTATTGCATTGGCTTCCAGTTCAGTATTAAATAAAAGTAACAAGAGTGGACATCCTTTTTTTTTTTTACTGTATGATCTCAGTTATATGTTGAATCTAAAATACAAAACAAACAAAACAGACACAACACATACAGAAAACAAGCCAACGGTTGTCAGAGGGGAGGGTGGTGGAAGGGCAAAATAGGTGAAGGGGGTTAAGAGGTACAAACCTCCACTTAAATAAGAAATATGCCATGGAGATGTCATATACAGCCTAAGTAATAACATTGCAATAAATCTGTATGGAGACAGATGGTTACTAGACTTACTGTGGTGAACATTTCATAATGTATGCAAATATCAAATAACTATGTAGCACAGCTAAAGCTAACATAATATTGTATATCAACTATATTGCAATACAAAAATAAAATAGAAGCCTTTTCTTCTAACTCCAGTATCAGTCTAGAGTCTTGCAGCAGTGGAGGAAGGTTGCTCTTGCTGGAGTTTGCTACTTAGCAATTTTCTGGTAATTTGATGTTTGTGGTACCCTCCATTTCCTAGTATCGTATGAATCATGTGTAACTTTATTTGTACTCCTTGTACACCTCATGGTTTTTTTTTTAAGATGTGTGGACAGATTTTGGTTCAGGTAGATGATATTCTATGGACCTTGGCATAACTTATCTGTTATTTCTTATTTTTTTAAGTTATTAATTAATTTATTTTGGGCTGCGTTGGGTCTTCATTGCTGTGCCTGGGCTTTCTCTAGTTGCGGCGAGTGGGGGCTACTCTTCGTTGCAGTGCATGGGCTTCTCATTGTGGTGGCTTCTCTTGTTGCAGAGCACGGGCTCTAGGCACACGGGCTTCAGTAGTTGCCGCATGTAGGCTCAGTAGTTGTGGCGCACGGGCTTAGTTGCTCCGTGGCTTGTGGGATCTTCCTGAGCCAGGGCTCGAACCCGTGTCCCCTGCATTGGCAGGCGGATTCTTAACCACTGCACCACCAGGGAAGTCCACACTCCTATATTTTCTTATCAAGGGTTCCTCATCTGTTCAATTGTGTTCAAAACCAGCTGAGTATGTAGGGCCTTTCACAACATCTTTAACCGCATCCATTGAGCTTATCACTCACCACGCCCTTCTACAGCAGCATTATTTTCTTGCCAAACCAGACTACATATCGCATTCACTCTTCTTGAAATATGTCCTCTCCACAAGTCCTGTTCTCTTTTTTCCTTACTAAATTGTACACTTCTTATGAAAAAAGACATTGTCCAGTTTGTCTTTGCATCCTCCATACTTGGCATTGATTGAGTTGATTTTCAAACACTCTTCAATTTTACTCTGAATTTGACCCTTGTAGGTGGGAATGCCCACCTAGTATAAGCCATACCTTTATACTTAGGTTTTCACGCAGAAGGAAAACGCTTTTCTTTCATCTGCTTTCCCTCCAAAATATGCCTCGTGTTTCTAAATCTCTTTTAAAATTTTAAACAGAAACCTCAAAAAACTTCTAATGACTAGAAACCCAAATCATCCTTTCTAACCCGTTTGTAGGACAGTCTGCACTTGGGGTCAACAGTGAAGTTAGGAGGCACCCTCTGCAGGCCTGGCCTGGCCTTGACCCTTTGCTGCGATGCCAACAGTAGGCCGACCCAGTTCAGAGCTGGGGCAATGCTTCCGTGGACATGTTCGCATCCATCGTCCTTCCCTTGTCTTCCCTTCGTGTCGTCCATAAGCCTCGACCCTGAACACAAATAGCAGGATGTGGAAATTACCTCCCAAGTCACCGTCTATCCTTGTATGGAACGCTGGGGTGTCAAACTTGGCTGCCAGCCTTCCTAAAGACAATTTTAGCAGCTCCCGACGATTTTAGGCAGGAGCTGCCGATGGCACAAAGTTCTCAGGCAACTTCTAGAGCCTCTCGCCAGCTTCCCCTGCTGCCAGGTTACCATTTCGGTCAGGCAGAGACCCTCCGGTTCCCCTTCGACCGCTGGACCGGGCGTCCCAGTTAGTTCTGGGTGACTTAAGGTCACGTCAAGAAAACAACTGAAAGGGCAGATTCGAGGACGTGGAGACTGCCCCGTGCCCACCCGGCACTTTGCCGAGTCTCCGCAGGTGCAGCGGGGTTGGACGGGGGGCCACGGCGTCTGGGCAGCAACGGCGTGATGGGGCGAGTGGGGCCTCGGCGCCCCCGGAGCTGCTGCCCCTGCCCCCGCCCCGCCAAGAGTGGACATCTTAACTTGTTCCTAATCTCAGGGGGAAAACATTTAGTCTTTCAGCGTATTATACGTTTTTCTTAGATGTTCTTCATCAAGTTAAGGACCTTGCATTGTGTTGCTAGTTCACTGAGTTTTTTCTATCACGAATGGGTAATGGAGTTTGTCAAGCCCTTTTTCTTCACATATTACATGATCATGTGCTTTTGTCCTTTATTCAAGTAATATGTTGTATTGCATTAATTTTCATATGTTGAACCATCCCTACATTCCTGAGATAAATCTCACTTGATTATAGTATATGATCTTTTTAAAATGTTGCTAGATCTGGCTTAATAACGTGGAGGATTTTTGCATCTATATTCACAAGGAATTTTGAACTATAGTTTTCTTTAAAATTTTTGAGACTTGGTTTGTGGCCTAATGTATAATCTATCCTGGAGAATGTTTCCTGTGCATTTGAGAAGAATATATATTCTATTGGAGTTGGGTGGCCTGGTCTGTAGATGTCTGTTAGGCCTAGTTAGTTTATAGACAAAATGAAATTAGCCATTTGTTGATAACTGTTGAAGCTGAGTGATGGGTTCAAAGAAGTTTATTTTACTATTCTTTCTACTTCTGGGTATGTTTGATAATTTCCATATAAAAAGTAAAAAATAGTCCTCAAGTTCTCACATTAACAGAAAAGCCTTATAGGATTCAGCATATACAAGAGCATAGCTTACAAACATGAAAGAATGAGGTAGACCTACATATACTGATATGAAATGATATCCAAGATATATTGTTAAAATCTACATAGTGCTTCTATTTTTGTGTGAAATATGTGCACATACACTTGTTTCTGAAAGGGGATATAAAAAACTGAGAGCAACGATAGCTGGTCAGACTATGGGACTGGAAGTCTGGGAGGAAGGAAAGCTTGCTTTTTCTTGCATAATCTTTTTTGCCTTTTGAGTTATTTGTACTGGCTAATTCAAAAATAGGTAAATAAAATTCATGAAGAAAAACTGTACGTTAATAGTTAATTAAAATTTTAAAGAAGTAAAATGAAGGTAGACATGCCCTACAAATATCAAAACACATCACAAGGTTGCAGTCATTAAAACAGTGTGGTAACAGATCAGTTAAACAGAACAGATTTTATCATTTTAGTATATAATAAAAAAGGCATTTTAGAATTAGTGAAGAAAGGATTGATTGGACCAATTGGCTGTCACTTGGGGAAATCCCTATTTGACACGATGCTCTATACCCAAAAGTAACTTCCAGAGCAATTAAAATGCTTATTGTAAAAATAAAAATGTAAATGTAAAACAAGAAAATATAGTAGACCATATTTATAATCTCTTAGAGGTAGTGAAGATGTTCCTAGGCAGAAAACATAAATGAAAAATATCCAGAAAAATATAAACTTAAAGATTGAGAAAAGATCTTGACTACATAAAGACTGAAAATTTTTATAGGACAAAAGACATCACAAAGGAGTTAAAGTACAAGTGACAGACTGAGAAAAATATTTGAAAGACAAATAACAATGTGTTAATATTTATAATGCATAAAACCTTTTACAAATATATAAGCAAAATATAGCCATGTTAAGAACCTGCCTGCCATATCAGTAAACAAAGGATGCCGCAGCCATCAGTGAGCCCTGAGGTAACTCAGGAGAGGAAACAAAGAATGCCCGGCTGTCTAGCAGTCATCAGACTGCAGCCACACCCAATGGTGCAGCTTAAGGAAACGCAGGATGAGAAAGCACAGGATACAGATAGCTGAGGTGCAGTTCAAAGGAATGATTTCAATAAGCCTAGATTCTTGCATCTTCCCATACATAGAAAAGTACTAAATTCCTTAACTCGGGATACCTGGTTTTCTTTAATTAGCAGTAATCTTTTGTTCCTACTACCTGCCATTTGTTGCAAAACTCCTATATACCCTGGCTCCCCCCTTGCCTCCTTGGAGCAGTTCTCTCAGGGTTACTTGAGACACTGTCTCCTGGGCTTGAAGTCCTAAGAATGTCCGCCAAATAAAACATAACTCTCAACTTTTAGGTTGTGCATTTTTTTACCGTTGACATGCCATCTATCTATCTCTAAATTGATTGTGAAAACATAACTCCCTATTTTTTAAAGCCACTGTTATTTGAAGCATAAGTATTGTTAATATGCTATATCAAGGGTCAGGAAACATTTTCTGGAAAGGGACAGATAGTAAATGCTCTAGGCTTTGTGGGCTATATCTACTCTCTGTCACATATTCTTCTTGTTCTTTTCCTTACAAGTCAAATGTAAAATCCTTCTAAAAGTTGTAGAAGGATATGTATGAAAGTCTAAGCAATGAGTATTTCAAAGGAGTGTCAGGTTTAATGGGTGGCATTAAATATTTTGTTCTATAATATTTTAAAACAAATTTATAATCCACATTTGTGTAACATTTATAATTTTTAAAAGATCCTGCCCATTGGAGACAAGGCTGAATTATGAAGTTTTAAAAAACTCAAAACCCTCCAGACTTTGTCTTCTTACCCAACCTTATATCTTTTCCTCAACTTACCAAAAGTGTGTCTCCAACTTCTCCATAAAGTAAAGGTCCCAGGATTCCTGATTCATACTGAATAGCTTCACGAGTCTTAAATGTTTCATCTGTGTAAGCTATAAATCGGACTTTTTTGTACTTCCTACCAATCCGCTGAGGACCATTGTTCAAATACAGACTTTTATAACTTCTGTGTGAGACACAAAAAGATGAGAGGTTGGAATGGAGAATTCTAGGTAAAGGACAGGTTGCTAAAATCCACTCTAAAATAGCTCATATGATTTAATCAAGGAAAGGAGTGAGAAAAATATAAGCATCCCTGATGTTTAGCTATGTTAATTTACCAAACATATTAATGCCCTTGCCATTTGATTCTATACCTGTACCTAACCTTAAACATGGCTTAAGGATTTGTTGTTTTGAATAACTGGGAAGAATTTTTGATTATGGGGAAGAGATAGCACCAAGAGTCAAAAGGTACTTGCCTGTCATTGGAGGTAAGGACTGAGGGAGCATAGTCCCAGTCGTCCTCTTCAGCAGCAATGTAGTGGACCCAGGTTTTAGGATGCTTCTTCGCAACTGAGCGGATTTGGATAAAGGGAGGAGCGCTGTCACCATCAAATCTGACCACATCCATGTCAGAGTCATAAAAATCATAATTTTCTTCTTCATTACTCTTCATCCATTTGCGGGGTTCTTCTGGGCAGCTATCTACTGTGACATAAGCTTCCATACCATCTGGAGTCAGACAAACGAATGTCAGGTTCCAATGAGACTTTCTTGCCTTAACTCTTATGACTTTGTTCTTTCTTGTTAGGCCTTCAAGGCCTTCTCTTAAGTGTTCCCTTCTCCACACCAATATCCTTTCTTGCCATTGTCCTATATGTATTACCTTCCCCATTATCTGGTACTTTCTGGTTTCTTCCTGTGGTCTTTGCACTCACCATTTCCCTTCTGCCTGACTCTCCTCCAATATATGTTTTACCCCTTTTTCAAGACTCACTCATTTGCTCAGAATATCCATTTGTATTTGCTATATAATGCTCTGGGCATCACTACTGATATCCTGGAGCCCTTATGATTATAACCTAGACAGTGTACTTTTTTCCTTTTCCCTAAATTTCTCATAAAACATCTCTTCAGCTATGACCCAAAATCCCTCTCTCCATAGTACTGAAGCCTATTTAATGTGATCAGGCTGGGAAAACAATGATACACTGTCCTCCTCACTCTTGCCACCTCATTTTCCCCTCCCTATATCACAGGTAGATTCACCAGTACATTCACAGGTACTACTAATAATCAAGCCCTCTGACACTCAAGGTGAACTATTTGCTCTGAAAACTGGCAACTAGGGAATCTCAGTTGAGGGCTAACTAACATAATCCTATACTGGACAGTGGACAGTAAATTCCATTAAAAGAAGAGCTGGATATTTATAATACTCATTTTTAAGATCCACAGACATTACCATGTTGGTGGGAAGAGATATGACAAAACAGTAGAAACTGGCCAAGGTCCATCAGGAGTGTCTGAGCAGTAAGGAGTGTTATTGGTGAGATCTCCAAAGAAGCCTGGCGATGGTTCCTCACAAGAAATGTGTGCCCTTCAAGGAAAACTGAGTGCACTTCAGGGGTGGTGCCCATCCCAATCACATGCCAATAGACTGATTTCTTATGACATCCAATCAGACCTGTAAAGTAAGAATAACACAGCTATAAGCAAGAAGTAGAGAATTTGAAATGGAAAACACTTTCTAGGATAGGATGAACAAATTGTCCTTACAAATTTTATTATCTTGACTTGGAACCAAACTTTCCAAGGACACTGGGGTACTGTCAAACTAACAGCTCTTGCCAAATTATCAATGACTATCATGCTGCTAAATCCAATGGGTATTTTTCAGTCTTCATCTGCATCTGTTGACCATTCATTTCTTCTGGAAATTCTCTCCTCCCCTGGCCTCTGTTTCAACAGAGTTTTGTTCCCCTAAGGCTTAGACTGCTCCTTCTTCTGTCTCATTTTGTGACTGCTCCTTCTTTACCCATCCATTAAATGATGGACCACTCCAGGGCTCATCCCTAGGCCTTATTCTCTCGTTAATCAAATTTTCTCCCTGAATAATATCATTCATTCTCATGGTATTAACTCCAGACTGATACAGACTGATACCTTCTCAATATCTTCACATGGATATCTCATAAAACCCACAGGTACAAAACCAAATTTTCAATCTTTATCACCTCACCTTATTCCAGACTTCTTTATTTCAGTGAATGGTACCATCCTGAATTCAATTATGCAAGTGAGAGTTATTCTTGTCCCCACTCTCACTTCTCACATCCAATCTAACGTCAATGATGGCAATATAACTAATAACAGTAATGTTTACTGAGCACTTGTGTAACATCAAGCACTGTCCAAAGTATTTTACAAGTTTTAACTCCCAATAACCCTACGAATGTAGAAACTATAGTTACCATCCCTCACTTAGAGGCGAGGAAACTGATGCCCAGAGAGGTTAATTAACTTGATATGTGAGAGCAGGGACTTGCATGTTTTGAAAGTTAATTTCTTTTCTAATTCTGAAATCATGCATATTAATTATAGAATTCTTGAAAAATATAGAAAAGAGTTAAGAAAATATCCTTCCTCGTCCTTCATTATTTTCTTGGGTGTCTGAATTTTCCAACTTCCTCTTTCTTGGTTTACTCTCTGGTTTTATTGTTGCACATATTCAGTGGCTTCTAAGGGCTACCATTTCTGAAAATGTCTTTATTCTTCCCCCAAAGTTAAGTTATAGTTTGGCTATGAATTCTAGGTTGAAAATAACTTTTCCTTTAGAACTTTTAAGGTATTGGTTTATTACATTGCCAGTCTAATTCTCATGCCTTTGTATGTGACCTGTTTCTCCCAGGGGAAGCTTATATATCTTCTCTTTGTTCTTTGAAATTCCACAAACCTAATTTTGTGTGGGGATACTTTTTTATTTATCCTGCTGGGAAATTTTTATATAAAAGACTCAACTCTTTTCTTTTTTTAACACTTCATTCTATCATTTCTTTGATTTTAAAAATCTCTTTTTCTTTTGCTTTCTGGGAGGTTTGCTTTATACCACTTTCTATTAAGTTTGTATTTTGACAATCATATTCCTAATTTTGTGAGCATATTCTTGTTTTGATTGTTTCTTTTTCATATAATCCTATTATTACTTTTTTTTTACTTACTAGAAACCTGTTTATTATATTTATTATAAAAGGATGTAACTCAGGAACATCCAGATGGAACGGATGATAAGGCAAGGCATACTACTTTTGTTTATCTTTGCATATTGTCTTTGTGTTTCAGGCTTTCCTTAAATATCTGTTCATCCTTGGATGCCCATTTACATTTAAGCAAAAGAAACCTTAATTTTCAGATAACTGAGGAGAACTGGAGAAGAGAGCTCTGTGGTGAATGCAGAAGCTCTTGAGGATTCTTGAGCAGGCTGTACATACCTGGCAGAGACCTGTTTATATAGCCATTGATTGTGTGCATTGCAGATGCAGGGTCCACAGCCTGTGTCAAGGACTCATTTTTTCCTGAGTGCCAACTTTTCCCTGTTGAGAGAGGATGCGAATAGAGGGCCAGCTAAGTGTCTGTCTCATGTCAGCACAGTAGGCACAGATGATTTGCCCTCAAAGTCAGTAAGAAAAAGGGAGAAGACAGTTACCAAAAGGCAGCTATTTCTCGCTCAAAGTAATGATCTCTCCCTATATTTATCCATGACACTACTTGGAAAGGAATAATGACAGATGATAACTAGTGGAAGGGAGAATATCGGTTAATTTGCACCATGATGATTTCATTCTATTCATTAGCTGACTTATTTAAAAGGAGGCACATGAAAAGCATCCTAGGAAAAGGCTGCCAGTACCTGTCCCTGTCCTAACTGCTTCATTCAGTTTGCAATAATGAAAGCCCAAGAACCCAAAAGCTTTCCAACCTCATCCCTGGAATTAACAAGAGTGAAAGGCACTATAAATATTATTATTAGCAGCTCCTTGTGCAAAGGACTGAACCTTTCTGAGGCACCCAGCCTTTGGGGAACTCTCATAAGTTCATTTATCCCTTGATCCACTCATTTGTTCATTCAGTTAAACATATTTACTGAACACTGCTGAGCACTAGGCACTGATGACAAAGAAGACACAGCCTCTACCTTCTAGGCGCTTACAATTTAGCTCGAATAGACAGAGAAGCAGACAATTATAATACAGAGTGAAGAGTGATGTAAGAGAGATAAGAACAGGCTATTATGGGAGCAGAGAGGAGAAGGAACCTCACTTTGCCTGAAGAGAAAGGAATACAAGGTCAAAGAAGATAAATATTAAATAAAGCCAGCAATGATGATTTAGTGTCATAAGGAGGAAGCTCAAGGTGCTGTGGAAATATATAAAGAGGCAACTAACCTGGACCAGAAGGAGGAGAAACTTGGTGTGAAGCTGGAGACAGGCTTTCCAGGCAGAAGCAACAGCATAAGCAAAGGTCCGGATACAAGAAAAAGCATGGCGTGTTTTGGGTGTTACACAAAACGTGTACGGTGTGGCTGCAACTTGAACGGTGATGAACGGTGAGGCAGGAAGAGAAGCACAATGAGGCTAGACAGGTCGTCAAAGACTAGGTCATGTATCAGTGTGTTAAGACATTTACATTTTGCCTTGATGTAAAATTGAAGGATTTTAAGGGCTGGGGTGACAAGATCAGATTCACATTTCGGTAGGCTCCCTTTGGCTGCTATAGTAACAATGAAGTGTCAGGGGGCACAAAAAGACAAGGAGACTAGTCAGGAGAGAGACGATGGGGGGGTCTCACTTCAGAAGGTGATCATGACGGTGACGAGGACGAAATCACCCGCTTAATCCTTACAACCATCCTATGAAATAGTACTTATTATTTCACTTTTCAACTGGATAAAACTGAGACACGGAGGGGTTAAGTAACTTGCCCAAGTTACTTAAAAGTAAGAGATGAAGATAAGAAAAAGTATACTCATAGAAACACAGAACACGAGGGGGGCTGCCAGGGTCTGGGGAAACGGGGAAATGTTGGTCAAATGGTACAAGCTTTCGGTTTTAAGATGTGCAGTGTGATGACTATACTTAATCATACTACACTGAGCACTGGAGATATGCTAAGGGGCAGATTTCGGGGGCTCTCACCACACACAGGAAACAACTCTGTGAGCAGATATGTTAGTTTGACTGTAGTAATCATTTCTCTATCTGTATCTGTTTATCTAAAATCATCATGATGTACACCTTAAATATATATGATTTTTAGTAAACATTTCTTTAAAAGATAACAGGGGGCATTTAGAAAGTAAAGCAATAAGTCACTTCAAAAAGGGCTTGTGGGACCAAAACTAGGAGCTCTTAAATGCTGTGACCAAAGACTGAAATTCTCCAAAGGATGTGATAGTCACTCAATTGGGCTGTGTTTTCCTGAGGAGATAGAAACCTTAGCCACTCGTATCCATGATTGGCGATGTGGGAAAGTAAATAAATGTCTCCCACGTTTAACCAAAACTAACAAACAACCAAACAAAACAAAATTACATACATGAAACGTTGTCGCGGGTACAGGTCTTGCCCCTAGCCCTTCACACCAGACCTCCTGGTTTGACACGTCACCTGCTGGTTTGACTCAGCTCCGCCGCTGGGAGCAGAAGCTGCCCACGACGCTCAAGGCCAGACAGCCGCAGCAGGCCGTGTGCAGAGACGCTGTGCACGCACTGCAGTCTGCAGCTGCGCCGCTGGGAGAGCTCCGCCCCTTCCCTCGTCCCTATAAAGCAGCCCCGCCTACGGCCTGTCGGAAGGGCGTTTGCTCTAGAGTCCAAGCTCGCACTTCTCTGTTCTTTGCACAAAGAATAAAACTTTCCTTTGCTTCAAACCGGAAAAAAAAAGAGAAAGTAAAGCAAAAAGTCTTTGTTGATGGATTTAATAAGAGGGACAAGGTTACCCAGCTACTCTATCTTCTTACTTCATAGCTGCCAGTGGAACTCAGCTTACATTTTTTCCTTGGAATTCATTTTCATCCCTGTCTGCATCATTCCTGAATGATAACGTCGTTTATGATCTTTCTGTAATCACTTCCTCTGGACATTAACAGCCCTCATGCTCAAGTACCACATTAAATTAATATATTTCATTTCTTTCAGGAGACCAAAATTCAGACTGCAGCTCACTAACCTTCATCAAACACAGCAAAAAGTAGTACAAATTCGTGCAAGGTCTGTGTCCTTTCTTTGGTCAGACTCCCTGAAAAAGAAGTGAGAGCACTTATCTTCTATTGAAAATCCTCTCATAGGAAAATGACACTACGAGGATACATTACTTCATCAACTGCTTTGTCTCTTGGTCTCTTACTAACTTTACCATAACATTATTTCCTTGGTGTCACATCTTCTATGCCAGTAATTCTAAAATTATTCGGGGTAAAGGACTTTTTTAAAAATTTCAGATTTGTTGCAGACCCTTGCTTTTATAAAATACACTAAGAATTAATTACTAAAAAAGAAATTAAAAAGACATACAAACTACAAGTCCATATAACCATATTTCATATATATGTATATTCAGAACAAACAGAAAACAGAAAAAGAGGGCTTCCCTGGTGGCGCAGTGGTTGAGGGTCCGCCTGCCGATGCAGGGGACGCGGGTTCGTGCCCCAGTCCGGGAGGATCCCACATGCCGTGGAGCGGCTGGGCCCGTGAGCCATGGCCGCTGAGCCTGCACGTCCGGAGCCTGTGCTCCACGACAGGAGAGGCCACAGCAGTGAGAGGCCCGCGTACCGCAAAAAAAAAAAAAAAAAAAAAAAAAAAAAGTTATGAGCAAAATAACTACTGTCTATATTAAACACATACTCACACTTTAAATGAACACCATGTATATCAATATTTAAAGTTATCAATGTTACAAATAAGCTTGCTTCATGCTTTAACTGTTGAATTTGTTAGCTGTCTTTCTTAGCATACTTTTTCACTTGATTGGGAAGTTTTCTTTGCAGGTTTATTTTGAGTAGGAAGATTTTTGTTTATAATGTTCTTTCCTCTCTTGTACTTTTTTAAAAAATTAATTAATTAATTTATTTTTGCCTGCATTGGATCTTCATTGATGTGCACCAGCTTTCTCTAGTTGCAGCGAGCGGGTGCTACTCTTCGTTGCAGTGCACGGGCTTCTCTTTGTGGTGGCTTCTCTTGTTGTGGAGCATGGGCTCTAGGCATGTGGGCTTCAGTAGTTGTGGCACACAGGCTCAGTAGTTGTGGCTCATGGGCTCTAGAGTGCAGGCTCAGTAGTTGTGGTGCATGGACTTAGTTGCTCCGCGGCATGTGGGATCTTCCCGGACCAGGGCTCGAACCCGTGTCCCTTGCATTGGCAGGTGGATTCTTAACCACTGTGCCACCAGAGAAGTCCTCTCTTGTACACTTAATGCTTGGAAAGTAAAAGTTAAATTGGACGAAGAAACTAACTCACCCATACAAATTTAAAATACAGGTAAAGCTGTCTGAAAAGATTTTAATTTTTTTATTATATATTTTTTAAATTATCAAGTAGTGAAACTGATGTCTTTCGGTAGGTGAATGGATAAATAAACTGGTCCATTCAGACAACAGAATACTATTCAGCACTAAAAAGAAAGAAGCTATCAAGCCATGAAAAACATGGAGGAACCTTAAATGCATGTTACTAAGTGGAAGAAGCCAATATGAAAAGGCTACATACGGAAAAGGCAAAACTATGGAGACAATTTAAAGAACAGTGGTTGCCAGAGGGTAGGAGAGGGAAGGATGAATAGGCAGGGCACAGAGGATTTTTAGGGCAGTGATATGATACTATATATGACATATATATCATACTATATGATATATGATACTATATGACATATGATACTGTATGATACTAATATAATGGACACATCTCATTATACATATAATCCAAGTCCACAACATAGTGATTCTATGTTTCTATACATTACAAGAGATCACCACAATAAGTCCAGTTGCCATCTGTCACCATACAAAGTTATTACAGTGTTATTGACTATATTCGCCATGCTGTACATTTCATCCCTGTGACAAATTTATTTTGTAACTGGAGGTTTGTACCTCTTAGTCTCCCTCATCTATTTCACTCATCCCTCCACCTCTCTCCCCTCTGGTAACCACCTGTTTGTTCTCTTTATCTATGAATTTGTTTCTGTTTTGTTATTATTATTATTTGGCCATGCTGTGCAGCATGTGGGATCTTAATTCCCCAACTCAGGACTGAACCCATGCTCACTGCATTGGGAGCATGGATTCTTAACCACTGGACCACCAGGGAAGTCCCTCATTTATTTTATTTTTTAGATTCCATATATAAGTGAAATCATACAGTATCTTCTTTCTCCCTCTGACTTATTTCACTTAGGATAATGCCCTCTGGTCCATCCATGTTGTCACAAATGGCAAGATTTCATTCTTTTTCATGGCTGAGTAATATTCCCCACATCTTCTTTACCCATTCATCTGTTGATGGACACTTAGGTTGCTTCCATATCTTGGCTGTTGTAAATAGTGCTGCAATGAACATTGGGGTACATACATCTTTTCGAATTAGAGCTTTCATTTTCTTCTGAAAAATACCCAGAAGTGGAATTGCTGGATCATATGGTAGCTCTATTTTTAATTTTTTGAGAACCCTCCATACTGTTTTCCATAATGACTGTGCCAATTTACGTTCCCACCAACAGTGCACAAGGGTTCCCTTTTCTCCACATCCTTGCCAACACTTGTTATTTGTGGTCTTTTTGATAATAGCCATTCTGATATGTGTGAAGTGATAGCTCAAGGTTTTGATTTGTATTTCCCTGATGATTAGCAATGTTGAGCATCTTTTCATTTGTTCATTCACTTGGCACTATGTTGTGCACTTAGAACTATAATAGTGTTGTAGGTCAATTATACTTCAATAATTTTTTTTTTTTTGGCTGCACCGTGCAGCTCGTGGGATCTTAGTTCCATGACCAGGGATTGAACCCGGGCCCTCAGCAGTGAGAGTGAAGAGTCCTAACCACTGGACCGCCGGGGAATTCCCGGGAAAAAATTTTTTTATAAAAGGTTTAATTTAAATTACTATGATTTTTAGAATAAGAACTTATAAACATGTATAAATGCTTGCTTTTCTCAGATTTTTATGTTTTTGGGTTACAGATGACTAACCTCCTGAAGTGGTCTATACGCCATTGATCACACACTTGGATGTATTTACCTTCATGGAGGTTTCAAGGCATCTAACACAAAATTATAAAAGGCACTACTGAGACAGCCCATAGGATATCTGAAGTAGAAAGCAGAAGAAGAGAAGAGAGAGCTAATTCCAGAACTTGGCTTTTCTTGAACGTTAGAGTGCATTCTGGCTACATAGGATGGGCATCTGTTCTTCTCGGAGACTACATTATTCTCCTTTCCCTGGCAGGACACTAGGGAAAGGAAACCTCTTTCAGATGTTTGTACTTGCCGGCTTATTTCATCTCAATCCTACTCTTTCTTATACTTACCTTCTCTACAAACCAGCAGGGCTCCAATGAGGCCTGAGTTCACGTCTTTCACCAGGTCCACATGAGAAAGATATGAGTAGGTGAGACATGGTGGGTCAGAGGCCGTTGGACCATTTTCTTTCAGGACCTGCCAGACGTAGGTATGACTTTTACCAGGAATGACTTTATCATCTTCCTTCTCCCTTTGGCTGGTTTTATCCTCATATTCAGCACCTAAATCAAGGAGGGATAAAATTGTCCTTCCTATGCCCATTGCCCACTCAAGGAAACATCAAGTTTATTGTCAGCAGTAGACTCTACACAAGAAACAGTGTTCCTGAAACTTAATTTGGAATACTAACAAGTAGCAGCTATACATGGGGAGAAGCCTTATATGTTGCCGAGGAGTTCTTGACCACTAATGCAAACATGAGCGGTTGAGTGGTCCTCTGAGACCTCCAGATTGTAACAACAATACTGCTTTCATTATTGCATCTTTTTACCTAATTCAAGTCAGTTCAACTCAGTAGACATACATGGGTATGTACTCTTGTCCCAGACTCTTTACTGAGCACTGGTGAGGGTCAGGGAAGGGTGAGACGCAGAGATTTTTTTAAATGTTGTTTTTAACTTGGTTCTTCTCTGGCGGGCCAGACCATATCAGGGGCAGATATTTTCTGGCTGTCCCATCCTTAGTGATGTTAAAATTGACCCCTGGATTATCCTGATACCTTTATTCTACACTGGGCACTATATGTTTTCATTGTTAGTGGCGTGTCATTGCCTCTACATCATTTCAGTGGACTGAAGTAGAAACTATTGAAACTCACTGACCATAACACTTATACTTCTATTGAACTATTTTTCTAGCAATGCACCTTAGCTTCTCAGATTCATCAGGGTCTCTGAGACTCCAGAGCCTCCCAAGGCATTCAGGGTGCTCCTCATCTATACCCCATCGTACCCCACAACAGCTATACATCTAATAGAGGGACCTCTCCAGCAGAGCTGTACAAGAGACCCCCTGCACTGGCCCACTATAAAGTCAGCCTCTTTGGTAAAGGGGTGCCCCTCCAGTGAGCACTACGGACAATTGGCTTCATCCAGAAGCAACAGCAGACCAATACCTGTGCTTGGCAGATCCTGGGGGACATTTAGAAAAATGTGAGTTGTACCTCAGGTTGGAGAGTGTGGTTCAGGTGTCTGTGTGATTGTGGGTTGGTATAAAATTCTGAATAGTGAATACATTTGCATAGGGAGGGAGGGGATCATGGACGGGTAAAGAAGGGGCTTCAACTATATCTATAATGTTTAATTTCTTAAAATAAAGTAAGCAAACATGGCAAAATGTTAAGATCTGCCAAAGTGAGGTAATGGGTACATGTTTGTTTGCTCTATTATTTCCTGTACCTTTTTTTTGTTTGAAATATTTCATTAGGAGAAGAATGTCCTTTTTCCTAATACTAAGGTTGGGGTTGGGGGGTTGATGAGAGGCCAAGAACGCGTGAAAATTATACCCGTCTTGGCAAGGCAGATGGTGAAAAATTGTAGGGTCAGTACATGGTGGATCCCAATGAGAATGAAGAATTGTAGGAGTGGGCAGTGAGAGAATGACAGCTGCAAAAGTAGGAAGTGATGTTCAGAATGTTGAAAGCTTGAACCTGAGATTTTGGGTTCTTCTCAGGTTGCTAATAACAAGGTCTATCCTTCGGTGAAGACAAAGTTGATTTGTCAAGACCAAGTGAAGTAGGCGGCGCCTGGGAAAAAGCATTGTGCACAGCCCTTAAAGTTCACATATCTACTGATGTCTCCATCAGAGTCTTACCTGAGCTTGTATATCAGCCACCACAAATATTCTAAGCAGAATGTGTTTTGTGTAATTTTTATCTTCTATTATATGAGGAAGAACACTGTTGGGACATTTGAGAGTTCAGAAAGTCTGCCTGTCTGCTTCCAGTGTCCTGGTTAGCCCTCTAGTCAACCCCCTGCTGCTGCTGGGTCAGCCTTGCCCCAGGTCTGGCCTAGGCCCCCAGAAGCTACCCTGCTGAGACATCCCAAATTCCTGGGTGTCCAGCAGGAGTTGAGACCCACATTCTGACTCCCCATGCCAAGGATTTTTGTTGGTCTCAGTCGTGAAAGGCCACAGCTCAGTTGACCCCTGGGCATGACTACTCTACCACAGGACAAATGCTGTGTTTCAGAGGCTACTCCACTTCACTCTCTGGTGCCTTCAGCTATTTTTCCTTTGCCTGATGTCTGCTCAGCAGCTTCAGGTTGGTACTTCTTAACTCGTATGCCCCCATACTGTCTTTCACAGCTCCCTCAAAGTTTGGCAGCTCATGGCCAACTTCATCTCATTCCTACTCAGAGCCTCATTTTGTGGACCTACTTACAGCCTAGGTTGGTGTCTTAGAACGCCACTCGTCCAGAGAAGAAATTAAAAGCCTTTCTCTAGTACTGGGTTTCCATTTTCAGCTCAAGACCAAACTTGAAATTTCCTTTGACAGACACTCCATGTGAACTAGCTATCTTGGCATACAGCATATGGCCACATCCAACAACAATATGGCAGGGAAATGTACTCTTGCCACTCTGGGGGAGGAGATGACTATTTGGTGAACTGAAATATAATTTACCAGAGTTGGTTTGGGAGATAAAAATGACAGGCTTGCAAAGCTATAGAGATAGAAATCAGATCAGAAGTTGTCTGGGACTGAGAGTGGGAATGGGGCTTGAACTGCAAAGACAGAACTTCTTGACATGGATTGTGTTGATGGCTGCATAACTGTCTAAATTTAGTAAAAGTCATCAAACTACTTTAGATGAGTGGATTTTGTGGTATGTAAATTATACCTCAACAAAGCTGTTTAAAGATGCTATAGGGAAACCATACACAAAAATTAATTTAAGATGGGTCACAGACATAAGTATGAAAGGGAAAATAATAAAACTTCTAGAGGAAAGCATAGAAGAAATTCTCCATGACCTTGGGATAGGCAAATGTCTTAAATAAGACACAAAGCTCTAACATAAAAGGAAAAAAATGTGATACCTTTTTTGTGCTTCATTAACCGTTGAATTTTCATGCTTAATTAACTTTAAGAACTTCTGTTTACCAAAAAAGAAAACTATTTAGAGAGTAAAATTAAAATTCAAGCTACAGACTGGAAGAAGATATGCAAATATTTATATCTGTCAAAGGATTTGTATTCAGAATATATAAAGTACCTCTACAAATCAATAAGAAAAAGATAAACAACTCATTTTTTTTTCAACAGGAAAACATTTAAACAGTTGATCAGATACTTTACAAAAGGATATCAGAAAGGTCAACAAGCATATGAAGTGATACTCAACATCGTCATGTCACAGATTTAACTTACATCCTGGGGCCCCCAGGCTAGTCTAAGAAGGCCAGGAGCCTGTGGATCATAACATATAAATACACAGGCTCGTGCTAGGATCGTAAATCGCATGGGCATTAGGCCATTGACTCACTGTGTTGTTCCTGGGAAGAACCACTGTAGCTGTATGTGTGAGAGATGATAGTCTATTTTCCCAGAACTCACCAGGCTTAGGGTGCAAAAGAGTCATCTCTATGGTCAGCTCCCAGCTGCAGAATTGTGGGAACCCTGGTCTCTCTAAAATGCCCCTAGATTAGTTCTGGAAGCTTCCAAGTAGATAAACCTCATGGAAATAGCCTGCCAGGCACAAGTCAGAACCTGGGATGACTTTTCCTCTACAGCACCTGCCCCCTCCTGTCTTTCACCTTCCCCCAGTCCAGGTCTGCCCTGACCTAACGAGTGCAACCTAGAAAACTAATGCTTTCCAATTTCAGAATGAGAAATTAGTCAACGCATAAGCATAGTTAGACCGTACAATACAGGGCATGTGCTCCAATAATTTCTTAATGATTTACTTGAATCTTCTTGATCTGTATATGCCATAGTCTATCTGGGCAATATCACAGTCTGTTGTGGCTCTCCCTTCACTCCCTTCCTGTACTGCGAAGGTTAAGGAGAAGCTAGTTGGGGTGGGGACTGTGGCCAAACAGGTTGCTTGCTGTAATGAGGTCAGCTTGTGCTTCTGCTAGTTGGCCCTAATCACATATTTAGAAATTGGGGGGAGGGGAGGCAGAGGAGATATCTGGAAAGTCTGAATCTAAGGAAGGAGAAGGAGAATTCTGTTTCATTTCTATACCATGGGCCTTGATCCTCCCTAGGAAGTTTTCTGGGCATAGGAAGGCAGATACAGTGGGATTTTTTTTTTTTTTTTTTTTTTTTTTTGCTTTATGCAGGCCTCTCACTGTTGTGGCCTCTCCCGTTGCGAAGCACAGGCTCCGGACGCGCAGGCTCAGCGGCCACGGCTCACGGGCCCAGCCGCTCCGTGGCATGTGGGATCTTCCCGGACCGGGGCACGAACCCACATCCCCTGCATCGGCAGGTGGACTCTCAACCACTGCGCCATCAGGGAAGCCCCTACAGTGGGATTTTTAACATCCGCGGCCTGGCTCCCCAAGGGAGAACAGGGAACAGCAACAAACTTTAGGGTTTAGACTGAAATGACAAGGTTCTTGACTTCATGAAATGGGCCTAGGTTTGAATCCCGAATCCACCTTTCAGTAGCTGTATGCCCTTATACTCAATACTCTTCTGTCCCTAGGATGACAGGACAATAGGAGGGCATTTGACTCACCTTCAGAAGACTTCCAGTAGGATACGCCGATAGCATGAAGACTAACAGGATGAGAAGCCATATTCTTAAGTGTAATGACCACCGTGTCATAAACCTCAGCCTGGATGGTAGGACCCAGCAGACCTGCAAGAATGAGATGTCCCCCAAAGGTCATTTGGAGGGTGGCACTCCAGAAAACCTGTTATCACAAAAGTGATGGTCAAAGTCACAGTAGAGAAGCATGCCCCTATGGTTATTGATAAAAAGTAGTAGCTGAATGAATGAATACATAAACTGCTATAACCAGCTCAGCCTCATAGTTGTTCTGAAGACAGATTTCTGGCAATTCATTCAATGCATTTATTCATTCAACTAATAACTGAGTTCCTACTATATTCTAGAAACTGCCCTAGGCACTAGAGATGCAGTAGTTAACAAGATAGATCATGGAGATCACATTCTAGAGACATTAAGCATGTAAATAAAGAAAGAAGAAAATTGTAGGTTGTTATAAATGCTATAAATGATGATGGCGTGCTAGAAAATGATGAGGCAGGAAGTAGAGGACACTTTAAATACGGTAAGCTAACGTGGTTGAAGCAAAGTGAATAAGCAAGGGAATAGTAGAAAATAAGGTTATCGAGGCAGGCAGGGCACGTAACATGTAGGACTTTGTAGGCTACAGCAGTTTGGATGAATTTGGAATTTAGAAGAAGCAGACTTGGGACTTGTTTTGGAGGACGAGTGTAAAAAATATTAATAAACAGAAACATCAATTAAATAGAGTTGGGAGACCAGAAGGGGGCGCTCTCACACCCTGTGACAATAGCAGAACCCGAGGGGAAGAAGACTCCTCATCGTTCCTGGCAAGGACTCAGCCAATGAGCAGCCACAGACTCTTTGTTTACTCTAGCCCTTCCAACTTCCTTTCCCCTCTATAAACTGTGTTCCTCTCCCTTTGCTATTCAGGGACTTGTTTGTAGCTTGCCATGGTTGCAGATCCCAGATTGCAATTCTCTGCTGATCCTGAATAAACCCATCTTTTCTGGAGAAATATCTGGTAGTCTATTTATTTCAACAAGGTCAACAAGTCAACAAGACTTGCTCATGGGTTGGATATTGAAGATAGGGGGAAAGAAGTGAGAGAGCCAGGAATGACTCCTGTGATTTTGGTTTGTGCCAGCGGGTGGTAGTCAGGCCATGGCACAGAAAATTTAGAGGAAAATCAAGACTTCTGACTTATATACATACTAAGTATAAGGTGCCTACAAATGGTTTTATTGAATGGACTGCATTCAATGGGATGAAAATATGAAATAGGCTTATTTTTCATAGTTTTTAATTGTATGTGGAATTTCCCTTTGTTGCATTTTGAACAGTCCCACTCTTTTTCCAGTAACCTTCACATAGTAAGAGTATCATCTTTAGGTACTAATAAATCCAGTCTGGTCTAATATCAAATTTTTGATGTCACCTGCAATTTAAGGGTCCCTCCCTCCTGCAGTTCAGTTCTGAAACAGGCTCAGAAACCTGTAATGGGAAAAGGAAGTTTGGTTGGCAGCTTCACCGCTTTCTCATTTTACTGCCGCTGGACTTTCTAAAGTTGGAGCTAGTGGACAAAGGACAAGTGCAAAAAGAGACATGCTGACAAGATCTTTCTTGGCTTTGGTACCCCCTGGATGTGGCACATGCCAAAATTCTGGGTCTTTCTTTCTTAGAGAACTTATATGAGTTCTTTAGAGACTCTCTCCCTCTCAATATGGCGACGCCCTACTCCACCTCCCCCTGGCATGGGATCGCCCTCTCCAGCTGTCACTTTATCTCTCCCCTCAGTTTCTGCTTCTGACAGTACAATCACATAGACCTTTTCTGTTGGAATCACCTAGCCCTGGCAGGAAGTCCTCTCAGGCAGGGTCTTCTTGAGGCGAGTCTTGTCCTATGACCTTCCTGGTCTCACACGTAACAGTTGCAGTGCAGTTAGCCTCTGCTATAGCCCACTCTCCTTATTACGCCATCAGGGGAAGCTCCCCAACACTCTGGCATTGAAAGTTTTTCCAGATAAAAATCAGGCACTAGTCAGTATCTTCCAAGCTCCAGAAGAACTATGTCAAGTTTTCTAAATGATTCTCCTGAAGCCTCCCTCACTGCAGCTTGACATGAGGGAGAGGCCGCCCTCCCTCCATGGGAATATACAAAACACCAAAATGCTTTCAAAAGAAACCCTCAAGGGGACTTCCCTGGTGGCGCAGTGGTTAAGAATCCGCCTGCCAGTGCAGGGGACATGGGTTCGAGCCCTGGTCCAGGAAGATCCCACATACCACGGAGCAACTAAGCCCGTGCACCACAACTACTGAGCCTGCACTCTAGAGCCCGCGAGCCACAACTACTGAAGCCCACGTACCTAAAGACCATACTCTGCAACAAGAGAAGCCACCGCAATGAGAAGCCAGCGCACCACAATGAAGAGTAGCCCCTGCTCGAGGCAACTGGAGAAAGCCGGCACACAGCAACAAAGACACAAGGCAGCCAAAAAATTAATTAATTAATTACATTTAAAAAAAAGAAATATTCAAATCTAAACTCTTTCATAAGTTCCTAACCTTCTTTTATATAGGCTGGAGGTATATGATGGGCTAAAGGTTGCTGAACCAATTTTGGACCACTACCTGACCAAGTCCTGAATAGGTGGCCTGATATCTCTCTTTAGAATTTGGGGGTACTTGTCACCTATAATTCTGAGCAATCATTCTGAGGTAGGAAATGTCTCATCCTAACATCTTGTTACATGCTCATTTGACACCTAAGTGGAGGTATCAAGCAAGCAGTCTGAACTAGAGATATAAACTTGGGACTTATTGGCATGTATGATATTTTCAAGCCATGAGACTGGATAAGATCAGCTAGGGATTGGAAGCAGAGAGGAAATAAAATGAACCCAGGTCCAAGATAAAGGGCACTCAAGCAGAGGAGGAGGGCCCAGTAAGAAGACTGAGACCATTCAGCCAGTGTATTTCCCCGAGAGGTGGTAATAAGGGAAGCCTGGCCAAGAAAACTGCAGCCCCAAGACTGGGGAATCCTTGCAAGGAAATAAGATACCCAGTTTCATAACAATGAGTCAATATTGTTTGCATTACCCATCCATGGTGGCCTGGGCTTGGCAATGTTGAAATGCTGATCCATGAACTCTACAAACACAGTCTTTTTGTACATGGCTGAGGTGTTGAATGGAAAAGATCTTGGCACTCTAGGAGAAAACCTGTGTGAAAAAAGGAAAAAGTCATTCATTTTGGTTGACCCTTCTTTGAACCCACTTTAAAAAACAGCTATGGGACTTCCCTGGTGGTCCAGTAGTTAAGACTCCACGCTTCCAGTGCAGTGGGTTCAGGTTCGATCCCTGGTCGGGGAACTAAGATCCCGCATGCCGTGTGGTGTGGCCAAAAAAATAAAACATAATTTAAAAAACAGCTGGAAGTAATGCTTCCATCCCACTCTCCTCTACTGTTAACAAGGCAGATTGGAAGCTGTATATGAAGTCACAGAGAAAACTGCTGCCCCCCAAATTAGAGAGACAGGTGAATGCAGAGAATCACAACTTACTAGAACAGAAACCTTCAAGTAGGAATGCCTGTGGGAACCAGTGCTGTAGTAGGAAATAAAATAAATAAATTTTAAAAAATAATAAAAATAAAAAAGTTAAAATATGCCAGAGCATTCTGTTCTTATGCCTGCCCTCATGAGAAATTATTTTACCAGAGCTTATCATTCTGGGATTTTAATCACAGCTTCATCTACCTGGAAGAAGGAAGATACCCAACATCACCCTGCTTCTCCTTCCATGTAGAGGAAAGGAAATACCCAACTCTAGCCAGCCTGTGTCAAGGGGTGAGACTGAGAAGCAGTGGTGAAGTCCACAGTCCGGGGGCACAGGCTCACTGAAAGACTGAGACCTGATCACAGGGCTATAGAGCACTTCCCCACACCTCACCACCACGTTACTAAAGGCCTAATTTACCAAAGTTCCTTTTATCCAGTACATCACATCCATCATTCAACAAAAACTTACAAGGCACACTACAAGGCATTAAAAAAGAACCCCACAGTTCATAGAGACTGAACAAGCAGCAGAACTAGAGTCAGATATGACAAGAATGTTGGAAGTATTAGACCAGAAATTTAAAAAAAACTATGACTAATATGTTAAATATTTTCATGTAAAAAGTAGACAACATGTAAGAACAGATGGATAATAGAAGCAGAAAGATGGAAATTCTAAGAAAAATCAAGAAGAAATGGTAGAGATCAAAAACACTGTAATGGAAATGAAGAGTGCCTTTAATAGGCTCCTTAGTAAACTGGATATTGTTAGGAAAAAATCTCTGAGCTTGAGCATATGACAACAGAAACCTCCAACACTGAAAAGGAGAGAGAAATTTGCTCCTCAAGGGCTATAGATCATACCCTGAGTCATATCCCTGAGTTGTTTTGCAGATACTAAGACCCCCACCGGGCGGAAGAAGGTAAGGGCGTGCTGACCACCGGCGTGTAGACCTCAGACCACTGGAACCAGAAGGCTGATGATGTTGACTCCCTCCCGAAATACCACCTGGTTACCTCACCACCAAGCAGTCAGAAGAACGTCCATAAGCTGATCAGGTATCCCGCCACCCCCTCCCTCACCTTGCCTTCAAAAGCCCTTCCCCGAAAGCCATCGGGGTGTTCGGGTCTTTTGAGCATATGAGCTGCCCGTTCTCCTTGCTTGGCCCCAGGTTGGGCGTCTTGCAATAAATGCTGCACTTTCTACCAAGGAAACTGCACCAAACAACCAAGTAAACTGAATGACTTAGCCAGTCGATGTTAGCCAGCCTCAGTCGTTGGCACCCCAATGCTGCCAAAATGGACATATAAATGGAGGAGCCATGATGGTGACTATGCGTGGGCTCAACATCATGGACTCACCAAGGCCGATCTAGCTACTGCTGTTGTAGATGTCCAGCTTGCCAGGAACAGAGACCAACACTAAGGCCCTGATACGTCATCGTTCCTCAAGGAAACTATCCAGACACTTGGTGAGCCTCGGTAAGCTGAGCCCCAATGAACTCCTCCCAATAAACTTCCCGCACACATACATACACAAAAGAAAAGAAGCAGACAATCCTTTTTTTTTTTTGAAATTTGTGTGCTTAAACAGCTATAAAATCACCCAAGGAAACACAGAAGTTGTCACTACTTGCACAATGTTGGTTGGCAACATTCTTTTTCATCCCATGTGCTTTCAGATAATTCACCGACAGCTATAAATCTGTGGCAATGCTGTCACCCGTGATTAGCAGAACCCCGCTCAGAACGACCGAAAACTTAAAAGGCCCCCAAACGGTGCTTCCCAGCAAAAGGGTAGGCGTGAGGCTGTCAGAGCTCTTTCGTGAGGCACACAGTGGCCCTCCGCCCACCCAAACTGCGGCTATGCTAAGGCGAAGCTGGTACCCAGCAGGGTGGAACCATCTGGTAGGTCCCCGAGTTTGTGCCCCTGGAGCTCTGATGAGGGGTGTGGCCCAGAGACGTAGGTTTGAACGGCTCTGGTGAAAACTAAAAAAAGTGCACTAAAAAAAGTGCATCGAATGGCAGACAGAGCAGACGCTGCTATGCGAGTTTCTGGGAGTCGCACTCAACACGAATGGCAGGCGACGGTGGAAAGAAGAGGCATAGACACAGGCAGACACACCAGACAGCCACTTGCAGAAGGAAGCCCTGTGAGCCCTAGACAGTGTTGAAACCAGGGAGGAAGGACAAGCCCAGGAAAGGAGGGAGACGCCCCTTCAGAAGACACAAGGGTTTGGCCGAGCCTGAAAATGGTGAGCCGGCACCTAACAGTTTAGCAGCTCTTGCTTCACATGAAGATTGTTGCAAGCACGAGAGAAACTGGCCAAGCGACAGTCACAGAGGAAGACCTCAGCAGCCTTGGAGGGATGGGGCAGCAGATGGACTGAAGACACTCCTTCCAAGTGTGCACTGTTTTGCGTACACCTCTCTCAAGGAGGAGGCAAAGATGAGACTGACTTAATTCTCTCCTCCCTGACAGCCCTCCCCTCCCAGGGAGCCTTGCAGCTCACTCAATCCCAGGGTTTCCAGGACACCCGAGAAAGCACGTGCCGGGAGCAGCTCGGCCAGCCCAAGGCCAGGACAAGTGACTCTATGTACTGGCTGAGGGCCAGAAGCCAGCATACTGATAAGGAAGCCCTTCCAGTAAAAGGAGCTGATTTACGGAGGCAGGCGTGGGGATCTGCATGGACCAGAGTGCACGAGCAGGCTGAATGAGCAGATTGTCAGAGGCCCATCTCATCTACTCGTGCTACACAGCCACCTTTACCTCAAGTCACACCCACAGTCATGTGGGGGGTCCCTGACGACCAGTTGCTGGGGGGGAAGAAGCCTGAGATTATGTACAGTTGGGTCAGCTTGGTATTCAGGTACGAGCCAAAAATTGACTGCTGTTGTATTACAGCCCCACTCAGGGGTGGATTCAATAGACAATGGTGAAGGATAATCTCCCGGTGGGCCAAATTCTGGCTAATGTTGGTTGTTCACTTTGAGCAGAAAGAGAAAACCGCCCAAGGTTCAAATATATACAGACTAATGGACAGCAGCAAATGGCTTGGCTGGCTGTTCAAGGGCCTAGAAAGAAAAGGACTGGAAGGTCAAGGACAAGGATGTCTGGGGCGAAGGCATATTAGTGAGTGGGTACAAAATAAAAAACCTTCATGTTATATGTTAATGCCATCAGAGAATAGCTACTGTGGAAGAAGTGCAAAACAATAACAGACAAAATGACTGACGATTACCATTAGCCAGCCTCTACATGGGCCATCTCAGTGCTGGCAAGATGTGAGCCAAGCGGCTGTGGAGGCGTGGAGAGAATGAATGCATGGACCCAAAAGCAAGGGTTCCCACTGACTAAGGCTGATTTAACTTGTGTTGCCTCCCCAAATCCAACCTGCCAGCAACAGAAACCAATGCTGAGTTCCTAACTGGGCACTGTCCATCATGGAGACCAGCCAGCGATTCGGTGGCAAATTACATTGGATCCCTTCCACCCTAGAAGGGCTGGCTCTTCATTCTGAAGAGAAGAGACATGTATTTCAGGGATATGTTAGCTTTCCTGCCTGCAGGGCCTCAGCCAGCACCACTGTCTGAGGGCTCACAGAGGGTTTGATTCACTGATGTAGGATCCCATATGATATCATATCAGACCAGGAGACCACTGTACAGCAAAGGAGGTGCTGGAGTGAGCCCATGACCATGGCATCCACTGGCTTTATCAGATGCCACCCCATACAGAAGCTGCCAGACAGAGAGAGCAATGGAATGACCTCTTAAAGGCACAGCTAAAGCTCCAGCTTGGAGGCAGGGCTCCATAAGGATAGAGGGTCAACCTCCAAGGTGCTGGATATGCATTGATTCAAAGATGGTTCTGTGGCCCCAATGAGAACACACGGGTTTAGGAACCAAAGAATGGCAGCAAAAGAACCTCTCTTCCCCCGTGACCCACCCGGGGAGTCTGCGCCGCCCATCTCCACCTGCAGCTCTGGGCTCGGCAGTGTAGAAGGTCCTCACAGCACAAAACACAAGAGTCTCACTGAGTGAGAAGCAGGGGCGCCGCCTGGGCACCTGGGGCTACCGTACCCAAGGAGCGGCGCGCCAGACGAGGAGCCCCCGGGGCACGACCACCAGGGGGGAGGGCTGTCTCACGCGAAGCAGGCAGGAGTGGGCCACACCCCAGGGCAGCCACACCAGGTGAGGGGCGCGATGAGACGGCCCCTGGGGCCTGGAGAAGCTGCCCCCGATGCAGGTGAGCACATGGACAGTGAGTGAGCGGGGGCTGTGATGGCGATGGGGAGGGGGCGGCCCGGAAGGTACTCGAACCCGGCCACCTGGGGGGTGGGTGCTGCTGGAGGACAGCCCTCAGCTTCGGTATCGGTATCTTCGAGGAGCGGCCCGCCGGGCTCATGCCCCGCCCACAGGGCCTGGACTCCCCTTTTCCAAAGCAGCCCACTGGCCCTTCTCAGGGAGGCCACGCCCATTCCCAGAGCAGACCACGGCCCCTTTCTGGAGCAGGTCACGCCCCCTCCCCAGGATAGCCACGCCCCTTCCCAGGATAGCCGCGCCCCTTCCTAGGGTAGCCAGTGCTTAATGACTGATCAGTACGGAGACACAGGGGGCCTGGCCGCGTTGGCCCAAGTGGGACAACTCAGAAGGGTCATT